AAGTGATATGTAAAATACGAGGTAAAATATTATATATTATTTTTTAATAACTGTAATTCCTTTCCATGTAATACACATACAACTAATTTAATGCACGGCATAAAACTTAATATACGGTTATTCGTACCAAGAATATGTCTTCATTTTTTGTATATATGTAAGTTTCAGCCCGATACAAATTTGGGCTAAATATTATTTTCTAATAATTATTTTAAAGTAAGAAACGTCTATCATCACATACCTCTGCTGATTGTTAGAAAGTTTTCTGATAATAATTATACATACATTGTATTATGTATTTTTACATTTATTCTATTACTCAGAAATAATGATAACAATTGATATTTACTGTGTTTTAGATTGTTAAATTTTACTTAGTCAAGACAATCTTTATTCGTATTTAAGATATTGAAGGAAAACCTTTTTAAAAATAATTAAGTTATCCAATTTTGTTTTCAGTTGTAGTAAACTCTCTTATTGTGGTGGGATTGTAGAGCGCATAAAATTTATTGAAATCCCAATAATTTAGGACTCAAATACTAAAAAGTGCTGACATGTACTTATAAAAAAAGAGAGGGAATTGAACCACTTTATTGAGTAAATATATCCGATAATGTAAAGGCTTAAATAAATACACACTGCTAAGATTTTAAAGAGTGGATAGAGACAAATGTATTTTCTAATTGTATGCTTAATAAGTATTTGTACAAGAGCAAGAAAAAAATAGGTGTAATTTATTTAACTAGCTTACATGAAATTAAAAACAAATAGACTTAATTTATTAAAACAATAAAGAAGTGTATACATTTTATGTTAGATTTATGTGCAAAATAAATATAACATTACATCTCTTGCTTGTTTGTTTGTAAAATGTTTTTATTGTGTTTTTAGCAGGCAAGTCGTGTTTATGTAAAAAAAATCAATAAATCAATGTTCGAATTACTCCTGGGCCAATTAACACAATATCAGAAAATCTAATCTAATTACTGTTCGAGTAATAAAATAAAAACAATTTTTTTTAACTTTTTCTTTTGGACCTGATGATAGATTGGGCACATTCATTCGCATCTTGACCACGATCTATAAAGAATTAGTGTGGTCAGCACTAAGTAGAGCAGGCTTTAACTCCCCTTACCTCTAACCACACCCTCCCATCACGCTGCATATAATGAAAATAAAAAAATATTTGTATTCATGTTGAACAGCATGCTTTAAAGCGTATCAAAACCAAACCTGACTTGTCCACAAACTATATCACCCTTGTTTTTGTCACATTGTCACATCGTACAACATATGACATGAATTGTGACATTCTCAGCACCTTAACACAAATACAAACACCATCAAACACACCATCAAATAATTTAATCACGCTCAAATAATGTACACACACACGCCCAAAATTACACATTCAATCTCAGACATACACAATCACACACACTAACACTTATTGACAATCACCCACCAACAAACCCTCACACTACTCACGATAATCCACAAACACAACTTTCATACACACTAATTTAAAACCCCATAAACAAAAAACATAAATATAATGTTTCTATCAGGCATATTTCTTTTGATTTTAATTTCACAGTAGAAACGGACACAAGTTAAACCTAAACCGTTTAAGCATATATTTCTAAATTTTTTTTTCTATTTAGCTGGGTGGTAGGGGCCGGTAGACGTGATTAAGAGCAGTTGGGGGGGGTGAGATTTTTAATAATTAAAATATTATTTTACGACTAAATTGGTGATATCAAATAAGCAATACTGTAGAGTTTAATATTGGTTTAATTGATATAAGGGTTATCGTCGGCTAATATAAAGGGTGAGATATTAGGCATTATTGTATCGAAAACGTAAGCGAAGCTAGACAAAAGCCTAGTTTTCCTATATATGCCAATTATTTGAAAATTGATGAAGACTATACACACATACACACTCACACACACACTCACGCACCCACGCACGCACGCACGCACACACACACACACACACACACACACATATATATATATATATATATATATATATATATATATATATATATATATATATATATATATATATATATATATATATATATATATATATATATATATATATATATATATATATATCAGGTTTTTTGAATAAATTAAAAAATTCCAAAGGGAGAAAACTGCGAATTTACTTTAAAGTTTCTGAATGATCGTTATTATTACATCAATTATATTTATTATGTACAAAAGTAGCCTACAGCATTATGTCTAATATTTGAAAAGAGCAAAAATATTTAGGTACCTGAACATTTGTCGGTAAATTTGTTTCACACATGGGTGGAACTAAGGTCTACTTACTTTACCATCCATCCCACACTTCCATTTGACAATTACCTTACTATGGAACACGAATTGTAACCGTTACAAATAGTATTTATGTTTTTAATTTTTAATTTTTTTATTTTATTGAAAATAGAAAACTAGAGCTCAACTGCTTTCGTATGTTTTTAGCACAATTCGTTTTGAATAAAACAATTATTTCTGTCACAGGTTCAGTTAGTTTATTGAAGTCTTTACACACACATACACACACTCACACACACACAAACACACACAAACACACACACACACAGGTTCAGTTTAGTTATGTTGGTGATGTCACTATACACATTCGCACACACAAACACCGATGTTCAGTTTAGTTATGATGGTGAAGTCAGTGCACATAAACAGAGACACACATACATACACACACACACAGGTTCAGTTTAGTTAGGTTGGTGATGTCAGTACACAAACACACACACACAAACACACACACACACACAAACACACGCACACACACACAGGTTCAGTTTAGTTATGAAGTCAGTACACACACACACACAGAGAAAGAGAAAGAGAGAGAGAGAGAGAGAGAGAGAGAGAGAGAGAGAGAGAGAGAGAGAGAGAGAGAATTAGTTTAGTTAGGTTGGTGCAGTACACAAACGGAGGTAATTGAATATCTTCAAACACGATTAAAACCGGAAGCTCTTATCTCGCTTGAATAAATTTCTTCACAAATCCTACACCCATACATTGTCGACTAGGGGAAAAAATACCGAAGGTCACCGCTGAATGGAATCGATAATCTTCGTACGTTAGCACATTCAGAGGTACAGACATTCATAGACACAGACATTCAGAGGTACAGACATTCATACTCAGGTAGAAAAATTCCCAATCCACATAGCCCGCATTCAATGACAAAGCTTTTTTTCCCCCGTTTTTTTTGGTTACGTCTTCGTATACGGAGTAGGCCTATAGAGGAAGAATTGTTATCGCTCAAGCATATACGAAGTATAGATGAAGTATTTTAACCGTGCTAAAAATAATTGCTTATTGATTATTGCTAGAGATAATATCCTGATTAGTGATCAGAGCCTAACACACTTTGATATTCCAATTTACATCATTCTGATGGCAGTGGTATCAGTGTTTATTTTTTATTTCAGGGTGTTTTTTTTCCAGGGATGCACTTAAAATTGCCGTCAGGGGAGGGGGGTGTGGGGGGGGGGGGGGCGTCGGATACTGTTTAAAGTATATATTTTCTAAATAAATTCAATTTCGTACGGGGGGGGGGTAGACTTTTTACGGTGGTAGGTACGCCCCATCCCCGAAGAGATGCCTTGAAGAAACTATGAATGGTATCTCGACGTACACCCAGTTTCTATGGGTAACTGACCGGGCGAAATATACACACTGTAGCCCTAATACAGTTCACATCATTTCTCTATATGTTCTCTATATGTTGTAACTAAATGAATGAGGCTCTCGATCTGTAAATGGCAACCCAGTTATAAATTAAAATTCAAATAAAATTGTTTTCATTGTGTTGGTGCATAAACGTTGGGCGGGGAATGTAAGTGGTGTGTGATAAGAAATTTTCATTCTGGAGCTTGACAACTCGCCAACACACTCGGCTGTGACCTCAAAATTCAGCCTAGCGAAACAAAACACTTTACCAGAAGGTGGGGTGGGGGGGGGGGGGGGAGTTGCGGAGAAAGATGTTAGGGGTGCGACGTTTTTTTTCTATAGCAGATGTGGACCGTGAGATAACTAAACTATGGTATTTTGATTGAAATGTTAAATAAAAATCAGACGGAAAATTATCGCTACAGCAACTTGGAGATAATGTTTTAATGGTTAACATAGAAAATACATGCTCTTACCATTTGAAAAAAAAAACGTAAAACTTGTAAAAATTGTTAGAGGCTTCAATTTTAACATAGGTGTTGTACAACTCGCAATATTACGTGATTTGTAAACTACAAACAATCTGTTTTAATACTCACAAGGCGAGGATGAAAAGTGTAATAATATTGCGAACTAAGGCTAAACAAACTGACAATGTAAATAGTATTTTTGAGCCAAAAATGTTATTACACCATCCGGTTATTTTTAATTCAATTTAATAAAGCCAAGCATCAATATCAACGTTTCTTCTCTTGAGTGACAAAACTACTTAATTAAAGAAAAACAAATAAATTAGTCCAACGCATACTGCACTCGTACATCGTTTAGTAAGGCAACACTGGTTCAACTAAAATATACACAAAATACGTAATGTTAGTTTCATTTCTTTTTTTTTTTTTAAATCACCTAATATGAGGAGTAGCAGTTCTTTCTTTACATAACCTTAAAACGCCGTAAGGAAACCATATCTCCTGTGTTTAGAAATACAACATTGCTAAAACTGAATGCATGCTTTTATTAACACCCATTAGGCATTTTATAACACGTGCTATTATTTTTATATTTAGAAGAGCGTAAAGGTCGAGTGGATGGGGGGGGGGGGGGGGAGTCCATAAGCTAGTGCACACAAGGGTTTGATTACCGACACGACTCAACGAATCCACAGAACGGAAATATTTTCCAGAAACAAGCACACGCTTAAAGTGGAAGAACGAACCCTGAGGTTGATGCAGACCTGGACAAAAAATTAAATTGTTGAGGATTAAACACATGTAAAGACTA